GCTTAGTGATGCAGCATGTTCTGTTTTGGAGGGAAAAAAAAGTGTTAGTGCAGCTGCTAAAGAATTTGATGCCAAGAGAATGACATTAGCAAGATATATTTTGAAACTAAACTCTGGTGGTTACCAGAGTTTAGTTTCAAAATATGTCCATGGGTTATTTAAAACCTAGATTAATTTTTTCCCAAGAGCAAGAAAGCGCCTTAAAAAATTATTTGTTGCAAATGGCATCTATATTTTACAACTATACTCTTAAAGATGTTCGATCTCTTGCATATGAGTGTGCTCTAAAATACAAAATCAACATACCAGATTCTTGGACAGTAAATAAGATGGCTAGTAAAGAGTGGATGACTAGTTTTTTAAAAAGAAATCCTCAATTATCTATAAGGAAACCTGAAGCAACTAGCCTTGGTAGGGCAACATCATTTAATGCTGCAAATGTAAAAGTATTTTTTGATAAGCTAGGTGAAGTTATGGATATAAACAAAATTCAGTGCTTCACAAATATGGAACGTTGACGAAACTAGTGTATCTACAGTTGTAAAACCTAGTAAAATTGTGGCTGCAAAGGGCAAGAGAAATGTTGGTGCTATGACATCTGGGGAAAGAGGCACTAATGTCACAATGGTAACCGCTGTATCTGCCTCAGGAAATACAGTACCTCCAATGTTTGTGTTCCCTCGCAAAAATTACAAAGATTATTTTGTTAATAATGGTCCACCGGACTGTATTGAGGTAGGTAATGGAAGTGGCTGGGTTACAGATGTTGAATTCAAAAATTTTATGCAGCATTTGATTAGGCATGTGAAGCCTTCAAATAAATATAAATTTTGTTAATTTTGGACAATCACTCTTCTCACTTGCATTTTGAAACACTAAACTTAGCAAAGGAGAATGGAATAATCGTGTTGTCTTTCCCACCACAGTGCAGCCAGCTGCAGCTGCAGCCACTAGATGTATCAGTGTTTGGACCTTTTAAAAATTACCTATCAGTTGCACAAGATGCATGGCTGAGAAACAATCCTGGAAAAGTGATAACAATTTATGATATACCAAAAATTATATCTGATTCATTGCCATTAGCTATATCGTGTACTAACATTACAAAGGGTTTTCAAAAAACTGGCGTATACATGTTCAATGCAAACATTTTTGCTGATGATGATTTTTTACCATGATTTGTCACAGATCGTATAGAACCAGCAAATCTTGTTTCTGAGCTATCACACGTAGCTCATTCTGAAAAATGTTTAACATCGTCTTCAGGTCAATCTGTCAAAAGTAGTATTAATAAATAGACAATGTTACTTATTCCTGAAACTCCTAAAGCATTTTCTCCAGAAACTGTGCGACCTTACCCAAAAACAACACCAAGAAAGATACATTTGACAAGACGAAGAAAAAGGAAAGCTGCTATTCTAACAGATACTCCAAAAAGAATTATATTAAAACAGCAGCAAACTAAGAAACCTAAAAATGTTGAGAAACAAAAAAAATTATATACCTGTCAATTCCTTTCAAATATTAATAAAGAGTGTGGTAATAAAGAGACTCAGTTACATAGTATATTTAAGAAACAAATAAACAAAAAAACTGAGAAGAAAGAAATTTTAATGAAACCAAAAAAAAGTTCTGCCAGTCAATCCTTTGCAGATCATGGTAATAAGGAGACTCTGCTGCTTAGTATATTAAAAAAGTTAAAAAACAATCAAACAAAAAAACTAAGATGACAAAAAAATTAAAGACAAGTGCAGAACACGATTATGCTTGTCTTGTATGTTGAGAAAATTGGATCCAGTGTCAAGGTTGCAATCAATGGAAATCGTTCAAAATGTGATTCACATTCTGGTCAAAACTATATTTGTATTAACTGCAAAATGGAAATTGAAAACTAACATACCCAGTAAGCACAGATCGTTTTTAAAACGTTTAAAAAACGTTAAAAAACGTTTTCATAGGTGTTTTAAACGTTTTAAAAACGTTCAGTGCTTACTGGGTAAAGTGTTTAGCTATTATTTTATCATAATATTAACAAGTTTTAAAATGTTTTAAAAAAGTTGTGTTTTAAGATTAAAAAGTTTTGTTTTTGTTTTTATTTTAGTGTTAAAATTATTAGTTTTGATATTCATATCTTAAATAATTTGTTAAAATTGAAAGTATCTATTTGATTTATAAGGAAGTTTTGCTTTGGTTTTATTAACAGTTATTATTAACAGTTTTAATTGCTGTCACTGAAATGCATTTATTTTTTTATTGCTCAACTTACCCAACGCAATTGCTCAACTTACCCCGCTGGGGTAGGTTGAGCAGCCTAATAAACTTTAGACAATATTTTCTAAAACAAATCGAAAAATGTTTTTTTGTCTTAACCATTTTTTAGCAGATCAAATTATCTTTCTAATAGTGAAAAAGTTATATTATTCGGATGAACCGTTCAAGAGATCTGTTAGATTTAGTAAAAATTGCCCAACTAGCCCCGCCCTACCCTATGTTTAAACTTACGGCAGATTTTCCTTGACATTCTTTGATGCGCTTACAAATACCCAAAACGAGTAAAATTTTTAAAAACTTTTTCTCTCAAACAAAAAACTCGTTATATTTAACCACGAAAAAGCATAAAACTTATGAATATAATAAATAAATAGTTAAAGAACCAATTTTAATATAAGGACTCAAAAATCATGTAAATGCAATTTTATTTTAACAAATCTAACATTTTTAAAAGCAAATAACTTAATCAATTCAGCAGCAAAGTGTCATCCTTGCGTATATAAATGTAGCATATTCTTTTTTTTTTAAAAAAGGAAAATTTGAGATAACAAAAAAATAAAAATTTATAAATATAAAAATTAGATAACATTTTAGCGTTTTGTATGAACGAGCTTGTTGTTTTATACATTAAAAAGTTCGAGCTTGTTGCTAAATATAAAAAACTTATCTAATTTTAAATTGAGCGGTATATACTTTAAATACAAAAGAATAACTTTTTTTAGAAGAATGAATATTTTTTGAAAATTTTGACTTCTTGAAAAAAAAACTGATTCACATTAAAATAGGCAAAAAAAAGTTTACACAATTATTTATTATAAAATGTAAATAACGGTTGGGGTAAAAAGAAGAAAAATTCAGTCTTATAATCAAACCCCTTTTTTCTTTTTATCGTCAAACCCCTTATTTTATCACCAATCCCCTTAAAGTTTCGCTCATACGAATATGGTAAAAATACTTTAAATTGATTAATTCTACAACTTATATTATCATAAACTCGTGTTTTCAATATTACAACTTATATTATCATCAACCCGTGTTTTCAATTTTACAACTTGTATTATCATAAACCCGTGTTTTCAATATTATTTGTAGTCAAAAGGGATGTTATATGTATTATGTTTTAAATATTTATTTACGTCACTTACACTATTAGAGACCTGATTTACATGTTTAGACAATTTGATAAATGTACAAGTATATGAAATGTTGTTATTATTTGCTCTAAAATAAATGTTGACATTATTTGCGATGTTGGGTACAGCGAATCAGGGGATACGAAAAATAAAAAACAATTTTTTCATCAATATAATTTCATTATTTTGTGTACTCATATATCAGCCATCTTTATTTACTGTTGTTGTAACAAATTTGTTACTTTCTGGGTTTTGCATTGTAGTTTTTTTTTTAGATAAAAAAGAGTAAATTTTTTATCTTAACTTATTTATTATAGAGGTCACTGTTGAGATATTTTTTTTGTTAAAGAGGTCACTGTTAAGATAATTTTAAAAGGTGAAATTTATTTTACGAATAATTGATGTTTATTTTTTGAAGAGAAGTATACTAGTTACAATGCTTGTAGCAGTAAATGCTGTAAGAAACGCAGATACTCCACTTATGGTGTTTTCTTTTCGATTTTTAGAGCGTTACCTTTATTTAGAGATAACACGAGTCGCATAGCAAAAAGGAGACGCAAGTAAAAACTAAATAATAGAGTTAAAAATGTCCTAAGTCATTATTTCTAGAACTTTTACTTAGAAACTTTAATAAATTTATTATTTTAAAATTAAAAACTTCGAAAAACGATTACTTTTTACTTTCAAAGTTACTACTCAGCTTTGAAAATTCTGAATGAAAGTTCTGGAATTTATGAGCTGTAATTGGTAAAACATTTTTTACAAGAAACCATATTGGAACTGAACTATAAAGAACTATACTGGAAACCTGAAATATTTATAATTTATTTAAAATTATAATAATTGGATGGTTGAGATAAAAATTATTTATAGACAATTATTCCTTTAGTAATACTAGATTATAGATTAACAAGTACTGAGAACAAATAAGAACTTAATACTTTCTCGTAAATAAAGGTATATGGTCGACATATATTGTCGCACGATAATAAGGTTTTACCATACGACAACTACGATAATTTAGTATAATTTTATAAAGCATTAAAATTCCAGAAAAATATTCAGATTAATAGTTATTATTTATTTAAATTAGTTATTATTAGATTGCATTTAATGTTTAAATCAGAACTTGGTAGCAAACGCTAGATTTTCCAGATCGAAGATCCGGATAGGATGTTACGTTGAGAATTTTGACTATTTTCTCAAAGCAAAAAACATTTATATTAAGTGAATATATCTTTCAGTAAATATATGATTAAATATTTTCAGTAAAAATGATTCTATTCAGCCATATTTAAATATATTTACAAGAAAGAAAAGTTTTTAAATAATTTATTTATTGTAGTTATGAAATAAACAATTTTTTTTTGTAAGTTTTTTGTTTGTAAAAAGAAAAAATTAAAAATTAAAAATCATTTAGTTAGTCGCAATAAGTTAATTCTTTAAATTATTTATATTAAATTAATAGTTAATTTTTCTTTCCGGTAAATATACTTTAATATATTTTCCCAATAGTCTAGTGTTACTAAATAAATAGATTTTTTTTTACATTAAGTAAATAAACGCAAAGATCATTTGATTAAAAAAACACAAAGGTATTAGTCATTTAGAGAACACTTGACTTGAAAATATTTTGTAAAGAAAAGCTATATTTTTCACTTCAGTGTATTAAATATCAACGGAGGTTTGCGTTGTTTTATTTTTTAACAGTACATAAAACGACCTAACGTTACAAATTGGTTCAATACTAAGTAATTACTCCTAAAATAATTCAAAAAATTTGTTTTATTTAAATTTAATTTTTTACTTGTGTAAAGTTAAGTATTTTCTGTTTAAATATATATATATATATATATATATATATATATATTTATATATATATATATATATATATATATATATATATATATATATATATATATATATATATATATATATATATATATATATATATATATATATATGTTTTTGTTTGTATACTCTAAATGTTATGGAGTATATAGAAATCAAACTTTTTTATTTACGTGTTTTAAATGTTTACTAGAGTTTTTGAATAATTTTTTCTCTCTCACCACAGGTTAACAATATGATGAAGTTTAACTACATCTTTTTTATTTTCACTTTTATTTTGGTGATTAAATTTACTAAATGCAAACTAAAAGGTGTCAATCCCGATTCGAAAAATGCGGTTGAATATGGTTGCTATCTAAAAAAATGTTGGTCCAGTTGTAATGTAAGAAATAATAAAATATGGTCACGAAAATAGTTTAAAAACAATAATAAGAAAAAAATTTTTTTTTTCAAATAATAAAAAGTACATTCATACATACATTCTTAGATGCATACAAACACTTACGCTTACACTTACACACATTTACTCACTCACTCACACAAACACACACACACACACACACACACACACACACACACACATAAACACACACAAACACACACAAACATACACACACATTCATATACACACATACATATACACACAATCCCATTCACACACATACACACATATATACATGTGGATCATTCATAGTTAATTTAATTTAGTTCCCATCAAACTCTTGGTGTTGGTCAAATGCACTAGTAGGACAAGGGGTACGTACTTGTAAAGTTGATAAAGACTGTGACAAATATCGGTACAAATGTCAAGGTTCCTGTCATCTATCCTCAAGTTAATAAAACTTTTTTTTTTATTGATTATTATTAATTTTTTATTTTAAACCATTTATTGGTTATTTAAAAGTTTGTAAATTTATTATGGCGGTTGTTTTTATTTTTTTATTATTTGTAAATATTTTAAAAATATAAAATATTCGCCTTCGAAATTGGTATGTAAATGCATGATTTTGTACCTTATAATTTCTCATTCGGCGTGTCTCCAATGAGGATTGAGAAGCGGCTAGCTAAGCATCAGGGTCAAGTTTACTAAGTTTGAAATCTTTTTTTTTTTAAACTTAAGTTTGAGTTTAATTAATGTCTGATTTGTCATAAAGACTCCAAGGTATCAAAAAGAAAGCAGAAACAAATTTTGGTATTTTTAAACAAGTGGTAAAATTTATGCAAAACTTTTTAAATTCTTCAAGCAAAATAATATTAAAAGCACGAACGCATTTATAATGACCAATCAAATGTTATTCTTTTAAGTATTTAAATAACATTTTTTTTTTTTTTAATTATTGAAGTTTCTTTCATCAAATGTTTTATCAAGTATCATAATAACAAAGTTAGTTGTCACAACAATAAGGCGTATTTATAAAATGTTATAAGAACTAAATGTAAAGTGTTTGTTCTCTTTTAACCCAGCATGCAACATACATATAAAATACGTCTTTGCAAACTCTGAGAAGTGCATTTTTTAAATATTTAATGCAAACCTGTAATATATATTTCTAAGTTAAGAAATACATCTCAACAATAAAGATGGAATGTTTTCACTTGTTAATACATAATTCATATTGACACAGTTCATTATTTTTTTAAAAATATTTAATATACTTATACTGTTTACTGTTTTTTATTTCAAGCTATAATAGCTTCTAAGCTATAATAAATTCATCCATTGACCAGGTCCATGTAGATGGAGGGGTAAGAAATTTAATTCAATATCTTCTCACTGGATACATAGTTAATGGTTTGTTAAGGGTACTTAAATAAAAAATACAACTTCAATGGCTTCAAGTTTACTTCAGGCTAGATTAACAGGTAGTAACAAATATTTAGTTAATTCTTACAGGGGAATTTAAAACTGATCAAAATGTTATGAATTCTAGACTAATTTAGTTTAGCTTTGGTACGCTCAGTTTGTTTATCAACGCAACATGTTTTTCTCATAAAACATTAACGCATTAACCTCAACGCGAATTTTATTACAATATATTTTTTATGTTCTATTTAACTTTAGTTTTTTAATTAAAACTAAAATGCTTTACTCATTAAGAGAGCTGGTGAAATTTTTGCAGAGGTTTACTATTTTTTTTAATGTTAATTTATTGAATGTTGTAAGCTGGTATCAATCTTATTTTTTAGATCGGAAACAACTTGTAAGTATTAATTTTCATAATTTTAGTAATAAACTTGTGTCATGGTTCTGTTTTTGGTTTTTAATTTACATTAGTGTATTGATCGGGGACTGTATATATAATTATATATACAGTCCCCAATCAAATTATTAGCCCACGTTGATATTTTTTGTACTTTTTATCTTCTTAGAGGTAAAACTTATGTTTTTATAAAAATGTAGATAAAAACTGTATATATAAATAAAGTATAACTATTTTCTAACATGAGCTACACAAAATAATAATAAGAATATGTTTATTAACTTTTTTAATATTTTGTTGATCCTCCCGTATTTTTTTTTAACTGCACGAAGACGATTTGACATGCTAAAAATGCAATTTATAGCCATTTTTTTCAAGTATACATTATGGTTCCGATACCAATTAAGTTTTTCAATCAATTGGGTCTTATTTGTGAACTTTTTTAGCAAAACTTCTCTATTCAATAGCTCCCATACATTTTCTATGGTGTTTATATCTTAGGAGTTCCCTAGCCAATTAAAAAGTGGAATTTTTACAGATGCTAATAATTTTTTAATGGATTTTGCCGTGTGACATGGTGCTCCATCTTGCATAAATATTTTCTTCTGCTAACTTGGAAACCATTTTTTCAATTGAGGTACGGGTTTTAATGACCCTTTTTTTTTTTTTTTTCTGTTTTCATTTGCCGTAAAATAAATACTATATTTTACAAGAACAAAGAAAACAAGGTTTCTGAAAGAAGATCAACTGATCTTATCATGGTGAGAAACTACTGAACTTACAAAAAGAGACGATCTTGTCGTTCTTTACAGAAACAGTTAAAATGATTAATATAAAGTTTGATTCAGTTCAAAAAAACATTCAAAAAGTAAGGAAGGATCTTGACAATATCAAAGCTGGCTTGACATTCGTTGGTGATGCCTGCAACAATAAGGTTAAAAGTTTAAATGAAAAAATTAGTAAAATTAAAGAAGAGTTATCCAACGTAAAAATAATACAGGGAAAAATTTCGACAGACAACAACGACCTAAAGCTAAAATCTGTTGATGCAGAGGATCGAAATCGAAGAAACAACTTGCGTATTGATGGGTTGCCTGAGAGTAGCGTTGAAATAGATTGGGAAAAAACCAAAGAAAAAGTAAGGAAATTATTTGCTGAAAATCTTACATCAAAAGAGAAATCAAAATAGAACGAGCGCATAGAGTGGGAGTTTCGAACGAGAATTGCGAACGAACAACTGTTATGAAACTGCACGACTACGAAGACAAAAAAACAATCGCTGATAACGCATCGAAGCTAAAAGGTACAAATATTTTTATTAACGAAGATTATTGTAGTACAACTAGAAAAGTTCGAAAAGAGTTTTTCGCTGAGGCGAAAATTCATAGACAAAATGGTTATTATGCTAAAGTTGTGTATAATAAACTAATTGTCCATGAATTTCAACAAAAAAACTCTGAAAGAACAGAAAATTTAACATCTCAAGGTGAATAGTTTATTTATTAATATATTAATAGTTATATTCTTTTATTTTTACTATATTTAAAAAATGGATTCGAATAATGTTTTTGAACAAGGTTTTGAAAATATAAAATTTGACCCTTTTAAAGACAATTTATTAAATAACACAAATATGTTTTAAGAAATTCAAAGGAATTTAATGAAAACACCGTATTTTGATCGTTATGAATTTAAGGGGGAAAAAGAATTAGATTCATTTTTTATATTACATGTAAATATTAGGAGCATAAATCAAAACTTTGACAAGTTTAAAGAATTTTTAAATGTTATAAATTACACGTTTGATGTCATATCCCTTAGAGAGACTTGGCATGAAAATATACTTGATGCTAATTCTAACTAATTATAAGCTTAGTCAACCGCGAGGAAGTAATAAAAATGGAGGAGGCGTTGGTATATATGTTTTATAGATATATTCATACAAAATAAAAAATAAACTATGCTCAACAAATCTTAATTATGAAAGCCTATTCATTGAAATAATAAGTGACAAAAATAAAAAGATTGTATTTGGGTGCGTATACCGACCGCCGAGTGGTAAAATTAAATGTTTTGAAGAATTTATTAAAAATACAGTCCTAAAAACAAATAAAGAAAAAAAAAAAGTTTGTATATTGCTGGTGACATAAATTTGAACGCTCTGACTTATAAAATATTTCCGAATACAAAATCATTTTTTGATATGCTTTTTAAATATAATATTTTACCAGTTATAAATAAACCAACTAGGGTAACAAAAAGCTCTGCAACTTCAATCGATAATATTTTTATTAATAATTATATAGAAACGTCATTTGAGACAGGTATTTTTAAAACTGACATAAGTGATCACTTCCTAATATACATTAAAATAAATCTTTTAAATGTCACAACCAAAGGGGCTTCTAAGATTATAACTCAAAAAAAACGAAACTTATCAACAATTAATAAGAATAAACTTTCTAATAAACTAAAGCAAGAGTCGTGGAATCAGGTTTTTAAATGTGATAATACTGATAAAGCTTTTAATATTTTCCTACAAACATTTCTTGATATATATAACGAAACATGCCCATATAAATTAAAAATAACTAAAAAAAAAACAATACTAAATCCTTGGATAAATAAAACTCTAATAAAATGTTCAAAAAATAAACAAAAACTTTACAATAAACTTTTGAAAAATAGAAGTGAAGATAATGAAAAATTATACAAAAAATATAAACGGTTTAACGAAAATCTTCTAATCAAAGCTAAAAAAACTATTATAGTGAAGAACTTACAAAAAACAAATTCGATGTAAAAAAAAACATGGGATGTAATTAATAATGTAATGGGAAGAAACAAAATAACTACGGCTTTACTGCCTCAAAGAATAAATATCAATAAAACTGATATTTATGGTCTTTTAAAAATCTCGAATGAGTTAAACAAATACTTTACAAACATTGGCCCGAACCTTGCTAAAAAAAATATAACCATACTCAACTCATTTAAATTATATCTTAAATCGTTAAATGACGTAATACTTCACGATAGCGACTTTTCTCTTAAAGAATATGAAACAGCCTTTTCTTTTCTAAAAAAAAAAATAAATCACCTGACTTCGATGACGTTTCTAGTAATATAGTTATTTTAAACAAAAATTACCTTTGATCCATATTATAAAACTTTCAATAAATGAAAGTATTTTCCCTGAAGCACTAAAGTTGGCAAAAGTATGCCCAATTTACAAAAACAAAGATCACTAATTATAGACCTGTATCTGTATTTTCTGTATTTTCCAAAATATTCGAACGTGTAATCTATAATAGAATTTATAACCATTTTAATGAAAATAGTTTATTTTACACAAAACAGTTTAGTTTTCCAAAAAACCATTCAACTGAACACGCAATAATTGAAATAGTAGACCAAATTACTAAAGGATTCGAAAACAATAACTTTACTCTATTTTAGAATTATTTATTGACCTATCAAAAGCATTTGATACGGTTGATCATCTCATTCTTTTAGAAAAAACTTAACACTACGGAGTAGTAAATAAAATCTATGATTGGTTAAAAAGCTACCTCACCGAAAGAAAACAACATGTTATTAATAAGGAATCAGGTGAACTAAAAATTATGTGTGGAGTTCCCCAAAGGTCAATTCTTGGTCCCTTGCTGTTCTTGATCTGCTTCAGCAAAACTTAACGCGATAATGTTTGCTGACGACACAAATCTTTTCTTATCAAACAGTGACATTAGGCAACTTTACTCTGACATGAATTATGAATTAAGGAATGTCAATGAATGGTTTAAGGCTAATAAACTGTCATTTAATGTAGATAAAACAAAGCATACTCTATTCCATAAAAAATCACAACAGGAAAACCTTCCCTTAAAATTACCAGATTTAATTTTAGATGATAAACTAATTGGAAAAAATGAGTCAATACAATTCTTAGGAATTCTTATTGATGAAAATTTATCATGGCTTCCTCACATAAATTATATACAATCAAAAATTAGTAAAATAATTGGTTTGATGTACCGTATTCGCCTATATGTAACATCAGAAAGTCTGAAACTAGTATATTTTGGCCTAATACATTGTTTTATTTACTATTGTAATATTAGATAGGCTAGTACTCAACCAACAAAACTTAAAAAAATATTTTCTCTACAAAAACATGCATGCAGACTAATATATAAGAAAAAAAAATATGAACATGCAAAACCACTAATGAAAGACATGCAAATGATGAGTATATATGAAATTAATATTTACCAACACTTAATTTTTATGTATAAATATAATAACAGCCTGATTCCGAAAACCTTTAATAATAAATTTACGAAAAATGTTAAGAATAATTACTCTCTTAGAATAAACCAATGGAATACTTATAAATTGCCTAGAATTAGGAGCAAGTATTCAGAATATGGAATAGCATACCGTGTGCCAAAACTATGGAACAAAACAAAAAATTTCAAAAAACCAAACATTTAAATACGGTAAAATCATTAAGCTCCTTTGAGTTTCTAATATAAAATGAAATTTTTAAACATTATAAATAATTTTGCAATTTTTCTAAATAAACATCGAATTCCATTATTCTTAGTTTGAAAAAAAAAATTGTTTTTTTTTTTTTTAATATTTCAAACAATGTCAGTATTTTTTAAATGACAATTGTTAAAATTATATTAATACTATTTCCTTTCTTTCTTTAAATGTAATTATTTATGAAAGTTTTTTTTTATTATATTGGCATTGTACAATTGTATTTTTAACAATCTTAATCTATTTTAAACTTGTAAAGCCCACATAGAGGCTCTATAAAAAGAGTGTGGTGACTTTAGTCATCCGTATCTTCTTTGAGCCCCTGCCTGTTTTTATAAATCAACTTTTTTTGTATGTAAATGTTTCTTTGTAATTATATTTTCTTATTATATAAACAGCAAATATATATAAACTGAAAAAAAAAAAAAAAATCATCAGAACCTTTACAATTTTATCATACTATAAAAACTGAAAATATAAATCCAAAAAACGTCCGTAATCATTAAATATATAATAATAAATTCATAATGATAATCACATATATTTAGTAATAATTCTCACAAATCTGTTATAAAAATCCATGATAATAAATTTTATAGATCTGTTATAAATTAAAGAAAATAAATATATTAATATGAATATTACTATAAATCTCATAAATCAAGTTTATACTTCAAGTTAATAGTAGGGGAGAATCGGGTAGCCCCGGATACTTTAGGAAAATATAGATTGTGCACATGTGCTAACAGAAAACAAAGTGTCAAAAGACTTTTTTTAAAAGTTCAAACATTCATCTATCGAATTAGAAACAAAAAAATAATTATTGTGTATCTTAATAATATACAAAACATAAAAGAAAAAATGTTAGAAATGTAATATAAAATAATTTAGCATTAGACTGTTCTCGACACATTTAAAAAAAAAATCGCTTTTAAAAATTGCCTTTGATATATAAGGAATGAGAATGAAAATGTCATCATTTAAAAATACAAACATAAGCTTTTAAAAACAGTTTTTTCAAACGTAATGTTTATTTATTGGAATTTAATGAATTACTGTTATAGGTTAGTGTACTATATTAATTATATTAATATTTATATAAAAAAAGTTGTTTATTATTAATATGTTAACAAATTAAGTTGTCCGGAGCCACCCTCCAAACATGTGTCCGATACCACCCGATCATACCTCATTCACAAATACTAGTTTTAAAACCAGTGAATTAAACTTTCTAACAAATTTTTTTTTTAAAACTATTGTAAATAAAAATATATCTTTAACCAATAAAAATTTATTAGTATAGATAAAAATAAGGTATATCAATATGTGAATTAAATATGATGATACATCGCTCTTCTGGTGGTGGGAAACAAAATCTTGCCCTCCCAGTCATTTGCTTCGACATTTCATAATAGATATTTTGCATATGCCATATTTTCACTCAAATAATATTATTCTAGTATTAAAAATCACGTAGTTTCTTTAGTTTAAGCTGTACATCAAGTGTTCGGAGTTACCCGGCGTCCGGGGCTACCCGACTTTCCCCTAACTTAAAATGTCATCCATAGCAAGAATAAAATTTTTAATTCATTTTTAAAAACAGAAAAACGGATAAAAGGATCAAAATGAGAAACTATTTTATTCAAAGGTAAGGTACTCGATAATTAATACAAAATTTATTAAATTTTGTTCTACAAAATGGTCCATTTAGCAAATCTTTATTTCCTTGTGAGTACTTATAGTCAGTTTTAATGTAAAAAGGTCGTTAAAAACAGGTAGGGAGAAATTATTTTTCCACATATAAATAAAACATAAAAGATTAAAAACGTTAAGTTTGTAGACATTAACTATTTTCATTTCATCAAAGAAAGGCTTTGAATGTGTAGAGCGATCCACATAATTAATCACGCGAATCGCATGTTTCTGTTGGCGATATAGACGTTGTAGTTTACTTTTTTGGTACTACCCCCATGCAATATTTGTGTAGTTTATATAGCTGTGTATGAATGAGTAATAGAGCTGCGTAAGGCTTTTTTTGCTTAAGTAAGGTCGGGCTTTATACAAAATGCCAATACTTTTAGATACCTTAGTGGTTATATGATTAATATGGTTTTTCCAAGTAATATTCTCATCAAGATAAACACCTAAGAATCTTATAACAGAATCTCTTTTTATTAGAGTTTCATCAATATAAATTTGAGGCATAATATCTGGTAAAGAACGTTTTTTTGAGAAGGAACGAAAAAAAATCCATTTAGTCTTGTTAGTATTTAACGTTAATTTATTACATTTAAACCATTTAGAAATGTTTACAAGTTCATTATTAGTTTTTGAGAAAAGTTTGTAAACATCAGTGTTAAGTTAGTGTCATCTGCATAAATAATACTCATCAGGTTAGAGGCTTTGTTTAGATCATTGACATATATAAGAAATAGCAGCGGTCCAAGAATAGAACCTTGTGGAACACCACAGGTTATATTTAAGAATCCACTTTGAACGTCATTATTACTATAGACTACTTGCTTACGATTTGTTAAATAGCTTTTAAACCACGCTAAAGTATTATTGTTTAAACCGTAATATTTCGTTTTTTGTATTAAAAAATTATGGTCAACCGTATCAAATGCTTTTGATAGATCTATAAAAATACCTAATGTATACTGAGCTTTTTCAAAGGATTTGGAAATGTTGCGTACAAATTGAATAATGGCATAACGCGTTTTAAAAAATTTGAACTCTCTTTTATGAAACCGAATTGATTGTTGTATAGTAGATTATTGTAATTAAAATAATTATTAACTCTGTTAAAAATAATTCTTTCTAGGATTTTGGAGAATACAGATAGGATAGAGATGGGGCGATAATTATTGATATTGGATTTGTCGCCTTTTTCTGCGAATTGGAATAATTTTAGCAATTTTTAAGCGCTCAGGAAAAATTCCTTGATGGATGGATGCTTTGAAAATTTAAAAAAATTTATTTTTAATTTGTTCATAGTAATCTATAACTATATTTCCGTTTATTTCATAGGGCCCAGTTGCTTTATTTTTTTTTAAGGTTTTAAAAGGTTTTTATTTGTACCGGTCCTATTTCAATATTCTATCCGCAATGTACAGTTGACCAAAACATGACTTTAGGAAAGTGCTTAATTGTCTGGATTGTACAATTTTTATGAAACTTATTATTAAAAGCCCTTTGGAAGAGAAATTTTTAGATATATAGGGCTTTATTCAGAAATAGACGATTATGCCCCTCCACTTCAAAACCCGTGTCGTCGGCCGTGTTCCTCAGTGTTATTTTCTTTTTTTCTTTTTTCGACCACATTTGCTTTGCCTCTAAATATCTAATGAGAGGCCAATTTTCAAGTTGACTTTGATTATGTTTGCAGTACGTCTTGAAATCTTCCATTTCCTTGAGTTTTCACTTATCGAAAAAAACTTATTTTTTAGTACATATTGAATATTGGTTTTTTTCATGGGAAAAAAAAAAAAACTGACGTTTTCTTTTTTTCCCATTTTGTTATTTAGAACTTTTAGATAACTTTTTTACTAAAAAATTATTTTAAACAGTTGACTTGTGTATACTTAAATATTTTCTATACTAAACAGATAAAATTGTTTTGTATAGAAAATATTTAAGTATACACAAGTTAAACTAAAAACGAATTTTTGAAACCCAATACTTTTATATTTTATTAAAAAACAAATTTTTTCTGATATTAGTATTTTATTTTATTAACATTCGGCTGTAAAAAAACAAAAATAGTATAGGAAAAGGCGGGTTCTAACCACAGGCATTCCATTAATGTAGTAAACGCTTCATCCCTAAATAAGCTAAACGCGCGTGTAAGTGGAAAACAAATATAAATATTTAAAAAATTATTATTCTTCTTTCCATATGAAAAAAAACTTAATTAAAATTAACCAAATTAATTGACTTATTGCAAAACTAATTATTAAATATTGCATTTTCATCAAGCAAGACTATGTATGCAAAGTTTAAAGAAAGTCTATCATCATGAAGTAATTCAAAAATAAATTGCAAGATTTGTGTAAGTGGAAAACAAATATAAATATTTAAAAAATTATTTTTCTTTTTTCCATATAAAAAATAAACTGAATTAATTGACTTATTGCAAAACTAATTATTGAATATTGTATTGTCATCAAGCAAGAGTATCTACACAAAGTTTAAAGAAAATCTATCATCATGAAGTAATTCAAAAATTGATTGCAAGATTTGACGCTCACAAACAAACAGAGACGAGGAGCTAATAAGAGCATTTGAAAAAATGTGTAAATATTGTTTAAAAATGGTTTAAATTATATTATAATACAAATCTAATGTAATTAAATCACAACAGTTAACAAAAAATAATTACTGCGCTTAAAGAAAACATTGTAAAACAGCACGAAGGAATGTCATGTTAAACAGATTTCTTTTTGTCCCCCTGAAAATGTTGGCACTCTAAAATTAACTTTACATTGCTATTAGCCTAAAAGTGTTCAGTTATAACTTTTTTTTTTTTACAACTTCAATAAATTTACACTTTGTTACGTTACAGTTAATATAATGCAAAGAATAAAATATAACATAATAATACCACGTAGGGGAGAACTTGCACCCTTGATCCGTAAGCACCTTTGATCCTATAGCGTTATCTCCATACTTACATAACTTATTAAAGAGGGCTGATAACCAGCGTGTGTATCTTCAAAAGTCGACCCATTGCACTATGGCTTTTTTTCTCTTTGTTTCGTGCTTGAACAATCTGAAATTATTTAAATGTTTAATAAATATAAAAAAGTTTAAAACTTTAATAGAGATAAGCATTAAATAACTTACACAAATATTTGTTGAGGCTATTAACCAAGTGTCGTGTGTTTTAAAATTTCAAGGAATTTGCAAATGATCTTTTTGTGAACCTTAGATATTAATTGAAAATATAATAATTGAAAAAATTATAAAAACATTATAACTTTACTAAACTAATTAAAAATAAAATAAAAAGTAATCGATAGTATATTATATTATATAAATTCGATATATAATAGAAAGGTAAAATATACTGTTAATCATATGATTGTATATAGATATAGTTATTATGTTTTTTGAGAAACTGATTTTGTAAAATTCAATAAAACTATACAAAAATCGTCGTAGCTGAGGTAAAAAAGACGTCGTAACCGAGGGGGTTTGTCTCTCCCCCAACCCCCCTATACTCTAACTTTGTCAAAATCTCATTCATGTGTGCTACTAATTTTATTGTAGTTTTATTGCACTTAATAAAATCAGTTTCTCAAGAAACATAATAACTATATCTATATACAATTTGACTGATTTTGTAAAAAAAACAAAACACCGCCATTTTGTTTACTAAAAAACACGACTAGCACTACACAATATAAGTTAATGAAGTAATAGGCAAAAATAGGTGCCTTTTCTTTTAACCAATCTTTAGAATACACTTTTATGAACAACATCCAAATTATAACTAAGCGGAATCTCGCGGGTTCACTACTTTTTCAATGCTTGAAAAATAGGTTAAAGAAAATAAATAAACTTTATTCTGTACTTTTTTGTTCGCACTTTTCGCAGAAAATTTAGAGAAATAATATAAAACTTTTTACTAAAATATTATATTAATACCTTGAATAGTATCGTCCATAGTTAGTTTTTTAGTAACGATAAATAACTGTTTTGTAAACAATACTTATTTAACCACATTTTTTTTTTTGTTTTTACCGGTTTTTACATCCATTTAAAACAATCATGACAACCATTTAAAACAACCATGACATTCATTTAAAACAATCAATTAAAACAATGTGATTTTCAACTAAAACAATCGTGACTTTCAATGAAAACATTTAACGCATGCGCAATCATAACATTCTATATTATTTTTAAAAAAAGGCTTTATTTATATACTTATTTATTTAAATTTATTTTTTATTGATATCATATTAATTTATTTTAATCTAATGCAATTTATTTTAATATTAAACGGATGACATATTTAAATGGATGTAAAAACCGGTAAAAGGCCAATTAAGTGTTTTTAATAACAGATGTTTAACTGCGTAGATATAGGTAACTTTAAAATTTATACAATTTTTTCTTATACAATAAAATGCACCAGGGCTTTGTTTATGTAGTTTCAAAATAATAAATTCAAAATAGTGATTTTTTTTTTGACTTTTGGCCAGCTTTTTTGAAAATTAGCCCACTGTGCGTCATATTGTTTTTAAATATATTTTTTTCTTCTAGAATAAAGCCTTAAAATAAAGATTTTATACTATTTTGTATTTTTTTGTTCTCCTAAAACTTTTATATAATATAATTGTAAAGTATTCAATATATATATATATATATATATATATATATATATATATATATATATATATATATATATATATATATATATATATATATATATATATATATATATATATATTTATATATATATTTATATATATATATCTGTGTGTGTTTGTTAATAAAGAAGATTTTAGTAAGTAAAAATCTTTATAAATGTTTATCCAAAAATTAAGAATATAGCAAAACTATATAAATATGTTTTATTTTTTTACATTTAAATATGGTGTATCATAAAAAACGAAAAACCAATAGACCACCTAGAGGTAAAGTTAATGAGAATGAAATGCGAGCAGCTGTTAATGCAGTTCTTAATGGTAGTACAGTTTATCGTGTATCTAAAGAGAGGGGAATCAATTTAATGACACTTAAGAGATATGTAAGGAAATGTCAATTAAATCCATATACAGTCTGCAAACCTAACTTAATTTCCATGCAAATCTTTACCAACGAAGAAGAAACATCTTTATCAGATTATCTTTTAAGGGCCTCAAAACTTCACTATGGATTGTCAACAAAAACAACACAAAAACTTGCCTATGAATTTGCAATGACTCTTTCTAAGCGCATTCCTAAATTGTAGAAAAGTTTACAAATTGCTGGGAAACAGTGGCTTCGTGGTTTTATGTTACGTAGGAATGATTTATCTTTAAGAAATCCAGAAGCTACTAGTATGGCACGAGCAACTGCTTTTAATTGTTATACAGTAGGAGAATTTTTCACCAATCTAAAAGATGTTCGTCTACGACACAAGTTTCAGCCACAAAACATATATAATGTTGATGAGACAGGTCTCACAACTGTTCAAAAACCAGTTAAAGTAATTGCTAAAAAAGGAGATAAACAAGTTGGAAGGATAACTTCAGCAGAAAGAGGGACATTGGTAACAGTTTGTTGTGCAGTCAATGCAATAGGAAACTCAATCCCTCCATTTTTTATTTTTCCAAGAGTTCATTTCAAAGGAAGTATGATAAATGGTGGTCCACCTGGATGTGTTGGGGTTGCAAACCCATCTGGTTGGATGAATGTTGCAACGTTTTTAGAGTGGATGAAACATTTTATTGAAAATGTGAAATGTTCACCAGCTAATCCAATGCTTTTACTTCTTGACAACCATGAGAGCCATGTTTCAATTGTGTGTTTAGATTTAGCAAAAAAAAATGGCATAACTATGCTGTCCTTTCCACCACATTGTAGTCACAAGTTGCAGCCATTAGATCGGTCAGTTTATGGGCCACTGAAACGTTATTACAATGCAGCCTGTGATGATTGGATTGTATCTAATCCAAGACCGATGACCATATATGATATAGCTTCAGTTGTAAGGAAAGCCTATGCACAAGCTTTTACTTTGTCTAACATTTCTGCAGGATTTGCTGTGGCAAGAATTGAACCCTTCAATCCTAACATATTTTCTGATAATGAGTTTTTGTCTTGATATGTAACAGACCGTCCAGAACCTATTACTGCTAACCCTTTTCCAGGTGTTGTTGATCCAGTTCATGCCCCAGCTTTTAATCAATCATTGATGTCAAGTCTGTCATCTGGTTCAGCTTGTAGTGTATTGCCTATTCAGCCTATATCTGACCCTGGAAGTCAACTATCCAGTGTTTCTAATAAAATCTCTCATCAAGCAAGTCTAGAAAAAATTAGGCCATTTCCAAAAGCTGGATCAAGGAAATCCATTAAAGGACGTAAACGTCAGCGTACTCGAATACTCACAGACACTCCTGTTCGAAATGAGTTAAATAAGCTTCAGGAAATAAAAAAAAAATCTTAGTCAAAAAAGAAAAAACAAGAAATGCAAAATAAGATCTTCATGACAAGAAAAAGAAAACTTGATCTTGAAAGTAATGAAAATAAAAACGTTGAGTCTCAGTAAAAAATAACATTTTTTTCATTAATTTTCATTTTTTCAAGAAAGATAAATTTGAAGTAAAATTAATAATAACTTTATTGGTTTTTATTATAGACATTGTTTTGATGACTTAAAAATTATTCTTATACAATTATGGTATACATTTGATCTCGAATCAAGTATACATACATAGGATCAAGGGTGCATATAGGTAGGATCAAGAGAGCATACTGGTATGCACCCATGATCCTAATTGAGCATTCTTAATTTTTATAATTTTAAATCTACTTAAAATATTCTGGTAAAAAAATGATAATTGAATTATAATAAGGTATAAAATTTGCTATTATGTACTGTTATTTTAGAGATTGAAATAAAAACATATATTCAGTAAGTTGGCCTGATAGATTTTTAGGATCATGGGTGCATACTCTCCCCTATAACGTAACATAATAAAACAAGTTTAACTAAGTATAACGTAAATTAACAATGTTTCTTTTCATAAACATTACCAGTGTTTGTTTTTTTTTTAAAAAAAAAAAAAGATAAGGAAAAAAAAAAAAAAGACAAGAAATTGAAATGAAACAAGAAATTGAACATAAACATTTTAGTATAAATTTTGTTGTTAAGTTTAATACACGTCGATATGATTATTGAGATTAAGTATTAGGTGTTTTAATTTATTTTTCAAGATGGCAGGGTTATTCAATACTTCTTTTTTTTTTTGAACATCATATTTTACCGTTGAAGAAATGTTACAACCTACATAAATTTACCAATAAAATTAATGGCTAGAGCAATAAGAAGACAATTTTGTCTTAACGCCGAGCACCATGTTACAATATATATTTTTTGCAAAAATATTTGGAAAACTTTTCCACAAAAATGGCCCACGATTCTGAATTGAATAAGAACTCAATTTTGAATAAGATTTTGGTACAGCAAAGTTGTTTGTGGAAAATCTTGTAGAAGAATACTTATAGTGTATTTCTTCAAAATAAGTTTTAAAATTTTTTAGAGACAGTCCACATTTTGTTTTATACGTAAACTGTAAAACTAGATGAATGTTAAGTTTGAAAATATTTAAGACGTCAAGTCTACATAAATAAGGTTTGCAAAGAACAGCTTAACCAAATACAATCTAACTGCATGTTTTTGCTTACTGCACAGTTTTCTTAACTTAGTGTGATTTCTTAACTTAGTGTGACTTGCCCATCCTATATTGCCGTAAGTTAAATAATTATATATAAAAAAAATATATGAATTTTTTAAGGATCTAAAATTTAAAAAATGGCTTTGCTCGATAAATTAAGCTAATATTTTTTGAGATTTTTTTTTCAATTGAGTTTATATGCTGTTTCCATGATAGATTTTTATCAAAGTTCACTCTATAAATCTAACGGAAGTTTGTCTTTTAATGTCAGTTTTATTAATTTAAAATAAATAAGTTTGTGTCATTGGCAAATATAATTACATCAATTTTTTTCGAGGCTTTTATGAGGTCGTTAACGAAACAGAAGGGGTCCAAGAATGGAAATGAAACAGAATGGGTCTAAGAATGGAACCTTGGGGGATACTCTACTCTTAGTAGTTTTGAGTGTTTATAATAAACTGAAATAACACATTGTTGCCTGTTGCCTACATATTTTTTGTACCAGTCAAGGGTTATGTTTTTTACACCATAGCTTTCAATCTTTTTAAGTAAGATATTATCATTTACAGTATCAAACGTTTTTGACATGTCTATAAAGATGCCTAAAACATACAAGAACATTAATCAAAACACATAAATCAGCAAATAAAGATATTGCAAACTAGTTTTGTTTAATGTTTTAGTTTAATGACACCTAAACCATTAAGTAGTTGAAATTCTACAAAATATATAAAGTGGGCTAATAATTGGATCAGGGATATATATATATATATCTCCATGATCAAATTATTAGCCCATACCTCTAAAAACAATACTTCCATAGCATTGTTATTATTAAAACGCAAATCTATTTTCATATCAAATAAAGATTTATGTTTTTTTTTTCCAGTTTATCTATTTTCTGATGATACGAATCTCTTACGTGTCAACAGCCGTAGCGCAGTGATTAGCGCGCTTGCCTCAGAAGCTAGAGATCTGTGATGAGACAGTAAGGATTTCTCGGGGCATAATAAATAAATAAAAAGTTCCGTTCTTTATAAAAGTGTAAATTTAGATCAAGATATTGTTAATTGGTTAAAATGTATATTTTTTTTAACTTGGATGAAACTAAGAGTTTTTGTTATTTTCTAGAAAAACAAAATAAGTCTGTACTTGTTTTCATTTTTCAATATATTAATTTCTTGCCTATATTTCAATATATCTTTTGATTATTAATTATATAAATTGTTTTAGGCTTAATACAGAAAAAGAAAAGACAAATTAGTTTTAAAGTCTTTCAAGAAACAAAAAAACAAGTAAAATTTTTATAAAAATAAACTTTATATTAAAAAAGATGTTAATTCATTTTTCATCTTAAAAATCAATATTTTTATGAGATGTCTCGATGCCCTCTTGATTGTAAAGCAGAAAACCGTAAAATTCATTATTAAATATGAAACTTTTTAATATTTTACTTTAAAATTAAATTTTAAAATGTTGTATTATATATAATTAGGATATTATTCTTATATAGAATTCATCATTTAATTTAAAAGAAGAATATAATTAAAGGTCTCAATTCTATAATTAAAGATCCCAATTCTATATAGGGGAAAGCGGGGCAACATGGCGAATGGAGCAAGATGGGTTTTCATATAACAACTCAATAAAAAATCTTAAAAATGGGTGAAAATGAAACTGTATTTGCATTTTGTATTTTAAAATACCAATTGGTTTTTTGAAATATTATTAACGCAATTTTATACGCATAAGTTTACTTTTTGCGCCTAAAAAAAATTCCTCACTTTCGGTTTCTCATAACGGATAATGTCCTTCAAGTTTAACTTCTTTAGAAATAGTTTTTGGCGATTTGTGTTTATTTTTTGTTACTTTAGTTAGAGTTATTGGCAGTTTTTAAAATTTTATAAAATTGGAGGTAAAAATTGAATAATAAGTCACGTGACCAGATGACAAATTTATGAACTTTTTATTTTAATATTTATTTCAAATTGTTATATTTGCAAACGGAAAATTTATGCAGGGAATAAATCATTATAATAACATAAACATACTCAGAAAGTATTATTGCTTCAAAACTGATAGTTTTGCAATAACTCAGGCCTTTCAAAACGTTTGCCATGTTGCCCCGCTTTCCCCTAATGCAAAACTTTAAAAAATTTACCTATTCACCAAGACCATTTATATAATTTATTCAAATGTAAGCTCTATCAATTCTATGTAAATGCTATCTATCTATCATCAAATATGCTTAACTATGTTCTTTTCGCTGATGACAATTCTCTTTTTTATGCTCATTCCAATATAAAATCAAATCTACAATAAACCGTGAGCTGGAAAACCTTATTTAAAGGTTCAAATTATAAATACTTTTTTAATATCAGTTAGACAAAATATATTTATTTCATCTCCTATCTAAGTCCACTCTTTTTTTTTTTTTTTTTTTTTGTAGTTATTTTAGGTGCTCTTATAAATCCAGTCTTATCACAGAGCACCGAGGGAGAATATTTAAAAAGAAGTTCTCCTCCTTCCGTACCAATTTTGCTTGTTGGGCTAGAGCTGGCGTTAAACCTCAGACCTCTGAGTTCTGAGCCAGAACTCAAACCACTGCGCCACGGCTGCTCAGATATATAAATAAGTTTCCTCTTCAAGATCCTAAGCTACATTTAAATAACATTATAGTAAACAGAGTTTACTAATGTTATTTAAATCACTTAAAATCCTAGAAATCATATTTGATGATTACCTTACTGAGAAATCACGCTTGTTAGAGATAAAATTTATTTAATTACACTGATAAAAAACAAAGTTTCTAAAACAATAGAAATTTTACATAAAAAGAAACATCTACTGAGTAAAAAATGTTTAAAAGGTATATGTTAATTTTTTATCATTTACGATTGTAATATTGCTTGGGCATGTAATTATATTTTTTGCATTAAAAATATATATGTAAAACAAAAATAAACAAGTAGAATTATCCATAAATACGTCCACGTTGAACCGTTACTCCAAGAAATTAAAGCTCCTAATGTCTATAAGTTAAACCCGTTCCAAAACTTGTTATTCATGCTTAAATATAATCTTGTACACTAAACTTCAATCTTTTTGCTAATGACAAGTTTTTTATTGCCATTCTAACATTAAGACAGTCACTATGAATCGTAAACTTGACAAACTCAATGAATAGTTTATATTTTTTTTTGCATATTGAATTCCTTATTAAACTTTTTTTTTTTCAGGATAATCATTTTTTTTATTTTTATAAAGTTATTTTCTTCTGAAATAACCTGACAAAGTTTATTTTCCATAATAAAATGTTTTGTTCGGATACTTATTTCTCTAACTATATATATATATATATATATATATATATATATATATATATATATATATATATATATATATATATATATATATATATATATAT